AGCTATCCTAAAATGCTAACTGTACACTGTACTACAGACAGTACTCAGGGCAACAGCTATCGTACGCACCGACAGAAGATTACTGTACGTTCGTACGGTCTAAATCAACCGTACACTGTACTTAGTACTGTCAGTAGTACGGCCTATTAGGCACGCTAGCTAAGGAAACATAGTCTAATATAACAGCTGTGCCCTCTGTTTCCACCTTATTGTCTCTAATAACTAGATTAACAAGCTAATTGCAATATTTATTTTATTTAGGACACATATTAGTTGCCCTCCTCCTCCTAGTTGTGCTCTAGAGGATGTTGTTAATTATTTAGTTAGAGTAATAGCTAACTGCGTTACACCTAATATAACACTTAGTAAGTAAAAACATTCTATATATATTTAAAATATATTTAGAACTAAACCTACTGCTACAGCTTAGTTCTTGCAGAGCTTAATGCTTTATTAATTTTATAACAACTACTATGCAGCTACTCTCCCTTAGATTTACTAGTCTTTTGTAAATAAAGATTAAATTAGGCGTCTTCTATACTAAAAACACCTACTTACTTATCCCTAAGGCAAGACTACCTGTAGTGTACTAGCTAAGTATTATTAGCAGTGTTTCTTGCTAGTAGAAGAGGTAAGTATATTTTATAAATATATTTAGAATGCATTTCTAATATATCTAGCGCTATATCTAAAGCTACTATAATAATACTAATAGGGTTATAATTATCTGTTGCTATAAGCAGCAGATTAAGCTTTTACTCTAATAGAAGTTCTTTAAAATTAATATGTCTTTTAAACATATTTATAACGCTGCCTTTAATAAGATTATTGCTGTATTATAGAGTAAAAAGTACAAGAAGAGTAAGTTACAAATCTATATATATTCTAGATGTATTATTAATGTATTTAGATGTTCTATATTTTTGTATTATTACTAATAGCGCTAGGCGTGTTACTTATTAGTGTATAATAGCGCGTATTAATAAGCTTATCTTTAAGATAATAAATAAATAACTCTACTTCTAATACTTACATAGCAAAGGCTTAATAGCCTTAGTTGCTAATATAGATAGGAAGTAACTAGCTAGTAAGTAGATATAGGATGCATTCTGTATTATGCTAAAACTAATAAAAATAGATACTAATTATATGCAAGTATTGCGCATTAGCTTTAGTCTATTAATCTGTACAGCTATAATTAGAGGTAGTAAGCAAGGCAACTTTTTATCTTCTGCTGCGTCTACTTTAGGCGTAGTATTAAGAGAGCTGCTAGGCCTAGATAGACTTGCTACTCTGTTTATACCTAAATAGTTACTATACTAGAGGCATTAGCTACTAAATATTACTAAATTCTAAATCTACTAATTAGTATATTTTAAGAATTTATTTATTATGCATTCTATAATATTACTAATTATATCCTAGAGAACAAATGTAATTTAATCTAGCAGTAGGCCTGCTATAAAAAACACCCTATAATTACTACTAGATTAAATCTAAATCTTTCTAATATTCCTACTTCTAACTTCCTTTAACAACGCCTGCACACTAATAGTGTTAAGTAGACAGTAAATGTGTTCTATGCTTATAGAACCTAGCAGCATCTCCTACCTGCAGTTTTTAGGTACGTTCTACTTATTATTACATTCTAATTTAATTTAGAATACATACTAATTACATTCTAATTAGGGCCTAGTCTATAGATTAATGTATTATAGAGGAGTGTACTGCCTAGGACAAAGGTGTATCCCACACCTACTATAATTACTTAATAAATAAGCAGTATAAAGAGCATATACTTTATAAAAGTAAGCAAGCTTTTAAAATGTATTTAAAATTAATTCCTAATACATTCTAAAGCATGTTGCAGCGTAAGAGATTATAAGAATAAAAGAAATTAATTTTATAAAAAAAAGTAAGAACTAAGTGCTATTTACTGCTACCTTAAGCAGTAATATACCTAGTAGTGCTTACTATAGTTAGCTAGCTAAATAAAGCTTTTAAGCACTAATTAAGTTTTATAGAGTGTTTATTTTGTCTGCTAAGTTGCTGTTTTATGTTCTAAAATTAACAAGGTATGTTTAGATATATATTAGATACATATTAGATACATTACTTACCTACTCTAGATCTACTTTGTCTCTATGTGTCCCTTCTCTAGAGAAGCAGTAGGATACAACTAAATTACATTTTAAATGCATTACTAACTTTATTACTAGCTTAACTAGTTTGCCTTTAAAGCTATGCTACATCTTATTATAAGGGTTACTTCTAAGGCTACTAACTGCAGTAGATAAATAGAATATATAGTAGTTTAAGCTTAAAAAACACTAAATAGAGCTCTTAGCTCTTAAGATCTAATATAAAAAGCGTTATTTAGTAATAGGCTTAGCTATAGAGGACTTAGATGTAGATAATAAAAGTAGATATAAGTAGCTAAATAAATTATAAACATATTTATAATATATTTTTAATTATATTTAGCATTATAATATACACCTACGCTTTCTATTTTATACCTATTAGTATTATTTTTAATGCAATTATTATTAAATTTAAAGATAAAGTAGTTAAGTAGACATTAACTATATAAATAACTACTTTTAAGACCTTTAAAAAATACTTTTAAAACATTAAGTAATATAAATTAGTTTTAATATTATATTAATTTTAGCTTTTAAGTAGTTTACTTTCTAAACATTAAAAA